GGGTGCGCTTTGCGAATATCAGGAGCGTTCCACGGAGTGTCAAGATGGATGGGAGGGCAGTGGCTAAGGAGAAGATCACACTTGATCGCGAGAGAGGGGTGTTGGTTGTTGAGTTGGATATTCGCTTCAGCTCGAACTTCGCTGTAGAGGTCGCCTACTGAATCATCCTCTCGTGTTGAGCCCCGCCGTCCACATCAGTACTCGAATCTGTTTGTGACCCTGTACTGTCGTCAGCACCATTGCAATGTATTCGCGCGATGAGCAAGTTGATCACAGCCCAAGAAACGAGGAAGAAATAGTGAATTATGAAAGATCGTACTGAGCACAGTAAGCCAGGCTACGGTAGTAGTGAACGACGGTCAGACAACGAGAGTGTGTGTGCACTGATACTAGAGTGTGAATAGTATGGTAGCAAGTCCAGTTCTTGCCCTCAAAACAATTTTGATCACAGCCCTTAATGGAGCTGGAGCACGAAGCTCGACTTAAATGGAACATCCAAAGCAACATCCACCACACCCGTCGCGCTATCAAACGCAACCTTGTCCTTGCTCACCGCCTTGCCATTCAACGTCACGCTCTTCGGCGCGCTCTTCGCGTTCGCGAACCGCACGCGAGCGAGGTTCACGCCGAGCGCATAGCCGTAATTGCCCCTGACGGTGAGCCTGCCGCTCTCGTACGCGAACGAGACGTCCGTCGTCTTCTTCTGCTCGAGCGACACGCCGTCGTCGAAGTACAGCGAGCCAGACGCGGTGCCCCTAACGTCGGGCGCGACGACGAGCTCAAAGTCCTGCCTGCGCAGCGCGACCGTCGTCTGCGCGCTCTTCGCGCGCAGCGGGAGCACCGCGCCGCCCTTGATCGACACGGGGATCGCGGTGAAGTTGACGTTCGAGAGCGTCGTCGCGCCGTTGCCCTGCTGCGCCTCGAGCGTGTGGAAGTCGTAGAAGAGCTCGTTCGGGTAGTAGACGTCCACGGAGGTCGAGTTCTCCTCGATGACGGGCGAGACGAGGATCGAGGGGCCGAAGAAGAACTGAGTGTCGATGCCGAACGTGTTCGTGTCCTTGGGGAAGTGGTACCAGAGGGGGCTGAGCACAGGCGTGCCATCCGTCTTGGCCTGGTGGAAGGCGGTGTAGAGGTAGTCGAGGAGACGGTAGCGGACGTCAAGCGCGTTCTTCGCGGCAACGGTGGTGGTAGGCCAACGGTAGAACTCCTGACTGATGGAGGTGTCGCCGTTGTGCTGTACGCCCACTGTCAGTCCCCGACACTCAGAATCCAGATCCAGCGAGACAACGCTTACGTTACGCATGAAGGGGTAGAAGGCGCCAAGACTCGCCCAGCGCGCACACAGAGTCTCCGTCGTGTTGTCGCCGAAGCCGCAAATGTCAGCGCCGACCATCGGGATCTGGTAGATACCAGCAAAACCAAGGATGCCGGAGATCGACTGCTTATAATGCGGCCACTGGCTGAGGTTGTCGCCGAGCCACTTGCCAACGTGCTTGCCTGCACCAGCAAATGTCGAACGTGTGATGACAAGCGTCTTAAGACCGGGACGGCGTGCGAGGAGGGCCTCGCGTGTCGCGGTCGACATCATCGTGCCGTAGAGGTTGTGCGTATCGTACTCGATAAGACCGTTTGCGTGGACGGCGTTGGTCTACAAATGCACTGTGAGTCCTTTGTGGGCGAAGTGAAGACGAGTGACGTACGTAGGCAGTCTTGTCAGAGAGCGCACCAGTGGGGACCTTGTTGTCGATGGCGTAGGGCGGCGCCAAGACGTCCTCACCGGTGTGGTCGACACGCTTGACAAGGATGGACTGCTGACCGAAGATCGGCGCATTAGGGTCTGGTGGAGGGTTAGAGCGGGGAGGAGGCAAGTTCTGCTGCTTGGCCTGCTCGAATGGATCGTCACAGGGGTAGTCGCAGAACTAAAGGGTGTGAACAATGAGCGATGTGCTGCGCTGCATATGAGATGTATGGCACATACGCTGGCGGGCTCGTTCATGTCAATCCAAGCACCGTCGATGTCGAGACCGGTCTCAGGACTAAAGAAAATCTCAAACTCGTTGTTCCAGTAGCTGACGAAGGTTCTGTCAATGGACCATAGAGATACACTAATGTGTACTCACTCCTGAGTCTTCTCGTTGAACCAATCGGGGTAGACAGTCACACCGGGCCAGACAGCGCCGAGGAAGGGGCTGCTCCCGTTGGCAGCCTTGAGCCAGATGTCGGCGGCGGTACCGCGGTCATATGCTCCATAATTCTCGCCCGGAGCGTAACCGACAGCAGGATCAACCATGAGGACTGGAGACCTAGTGTCAACAGGCGCATGCACAGGAGTCACAGAAGCACGAGCACGTACTGAACCTCTGATCATGCTTGTGGAGGTAGTCGACAACCTCGCGCATGCGATTGACCGGGAAATAGTCGGGGCTCAGGGTGAAGACGCGACGGCGGTCCATGTAGTCTGAATATGACGTCGTTAGACTGAACGCAAAGGTTGTACTTATTCACAACATACCGATGTCGGTCCACATAGTTTCAAGAGGAATACCCGCAGCCGAGTAGTTCGTGATGACCTCAGAGACGTCGATAAAGTCTGTGCAACCTGTCAGCGCCGGAGCAGACTGACAGAGCGAGAGGGCGAATCACCATTGTAGCCGAAGCGGCATTGGTGGAGGCCGAACGACCAGTACGGAACCTCCGCAGGGGTACCAACAACATCGGCATACTGACGTACCACCTCGGTCGGGTCGTTTTCGTCTCCTGCAAGGAAGTAGAAATCGAGGACCCCGCCAATGACGTTGTACTCGAGCGTCGTGCCAGCGCCCTCAGTGTCATTAATTTTGATATCTATACCATTCGAGTTCGCGAGAAAGACGCCATGTGTGCCCGTCGTGCGGTGCTCGTAGTAGATCGGGTGGTTTCCGTACAGGTTCGTACCCTGAGGGACACCGTATGCGTCGCGCGACCAGAACGTGCGCGTGTAGTTGTGCGTCGGCAGGCGGAAGCTGTCCGTGTGTTCGCCGAGGCCGTACAAATTCGCGTCTGCGGGCAGGTTCGTCTTCACGCGCAGGTACTGCGGCTCGAAGATGATCGGGTGCGATGCGGTCGAGAAGAGGACCTCGTGCGTCTTCGGGCGGTAGATCGAGAAGGAGAAGGGGGAGGTCGTGTAATTGAACCGGATTCTCGATGTCAGCGGGCCGGAGAGGACGTTCGTGTCGGGACGAGGAAGAACCGACTCCGCGATTTCGTACCGTTTGTCAGCCGGGTCGGTGATTTTGACGTGGATGCGGTCCTCTGCAGTTGGTGCATTCAGTTGACCTCATTACGCACTGGCAACTCCAATATGACATGTTGGGATGGCCACCTCATTATAGCTCTCGCATAAACCGTCACAGCGGGCAATCCCTGGTTTCTTCCCAACAAAAGTGGAAAGGCGTGACCATACGTCAACCTTTCTTCTGCATGTGATCAAAACGCAGAAAACGCGTTGAATATGCAACGAGTAGGTTACCCTCTTGTGGGATGTGAAAGAAAAGCGAGGGATTTGATAGCAAACGTCCGCTGTGGATAGGGACAGTAATTGGGGCATGACGCGTCCACGTGACCCGATCCCCACTCATGGAAAGACGCGTCATGGCAACAACACCGGCACTGATGGAATGAACGGAATACGTTGCATCAGCAGCCAAAACCAAGAAAAAGCACTGCTATCTTGGTCTGCCATGCATTCATTCTGCGGATCGCTAACTTCGAGGGCCGCAGAATGGCGCGAAATAGGCGAAAGGGAAGTACGTCTGCGACAAGTCCGTATGAGACCGCACGGGCTAACTGCCGGCATGACAGACCCTCTGACAGCACGGAGGAGGACTAACGGGAGTCTAAGGGAGGCGCGACGGAATGGATAACACAAGGAGGACCGGGAGCATGAATGAAGGGTGAAAACGCGCACTCACTGTTCTCGTAGGTCACCTCGAGCTTGAGCTTCTCGATATCCTCTCCGAAAACGTTGCACGCCTCCCCTCCGAGGACCAGATCAGCGGTGAGCTTGTGTCCACGGTTGACGACATTCTTCGCCTTGTATCCGGGGCACGCGTCGAGGACTTTGGGGTCGGTGACGGTGGCGCTGGCCAACGAGATGAGTTGGCCGAGAAGCGCAAACTTGAGGGCCGCACGGAGGTACATCGTTGGCGATGTGGGGGAGTAGTTGGAGGTACGGACTCGCACGCGGGAGCATCAAGCCATGGCAGGCAGGGTATGTATATAAGTCAACCCCGAACGCCCGTCGGGCCTGGAAGGCTGGTCAGTGGAATGCAGCAGAAGGAAGATGTCATCCATGCAACTTAGGCATCGCGGCAGAGCTCCATTGCCGTAACTACATATTGGCTTCTTGTCGAGCGTCCGCGAGGCGGGCATGCTCACTTGACCAGGCGGGAGGCATGTGATGATGCTTCAACGGTCACATCTGATGGCGGCGGTTTCCGGTTGAGACTTTTCAAAATTTGAGTTTTGAATGCACAATGTGAATAGGAACGCCAAGCCAGCGATGGGCGGAAGGGGGAGGAGGGTATAGAATCCTATAGACACTGGTAGACAGTCAGGGGGGGCGAGGATGCGAGAGAACGAGGTGCAAGAGTCCTGCAGTTTGTGAATGGTGTCTACTAGTAGCTTGAGTCTGGAATTCGACAGATTTGAGGGCAGATACTGACTGATCTATCTGCCTGCCAGTGCTACCTCTACCAATGACCGTATTGGCTATCATGTACGATGCGGCGGAGGCCCGAGGGTAGATCGTTCAGTCGCTAATGCTGCGTGCTGCGGTTGTTTCCACTGTGCTTCACCGATAATCAGCATGGTGAGGTGTAGTGCCCTGTTTGATAAAAGACGGTCTGGAAGTTGAAGTTGAACTGCTACCACAGGTTCTTGAAGTGGTCTTCAGAGAGACCGTCCAGACTCCGAATGGACTGACCTACGAATACATTGACACGTGAGTGTCGCTATGCGGAGGTGCTATAGTGTAGTGGTTATCACTCGGGATTTTGACTTGTTCTGATCAACCTTCCCGAAACCCAGGTTCGAACCCTGGTAGCACCTTTTGGCACATCTCACATCGTGCTACGACCCGCAAAACAGTGACTCGATCGTTCTCATATTTACTACTGGGAATTGTACAACATTGCCTAGGCAATGCTGAATCTCATGGGAGAGGGTACATGGACTTGTTGATTGGCAATCGAGCGCGTCTCGGTGTTGTATAAGAACTAGTTGCTGCTGCAGGTCTATCTCGCAAGCACTGATATTCCGACTCGTCCTTGTGTTAAACACAAAGATGGTTCTATTGCTCAAGAGGCAGACTAAAAGACCAATTCTCTTGCAGTAATCATGCATTGGCGTATGTCGGACACTCCGCCCGAGCGCGCAATCGGCGGAGTGAGGTGGCAGTGCGCGGCATCAGTCGGCATTCTATTTTAGGGATTTACGCAGACTAACTGCGGGCGACCATGACGAACTGCACTCTGTCTCGAACTATCACCACCTCTGCCCCGGAGTCGTGTGTATATACCCTGACATACCCTTCGTCTGTCGAGTAAGCTTGTCTTTTCTTGGTACGTTCGTCACACAAGCTGTATCTGTGAAGCAGGTGCTCAGCATGAGGCACTGCCAGCCGATCTATCCATTGATTGATCCATATTCATTCACTTATTTAGGAGCTTCTGACCATGTCATCTGAGCGAGACCCCCTCATACCACGCACCGCGTCGCCCGAGCCGGCTGACTCCAAGAAGTTCACGAAAGTAGGGCCTCTGGAAATCTCCCCCTCTACTCGTTACGGAATTCTTGCAGGTATCTGGGTTGGTACCTTTCTGTCTGTGTGTACATTTCTCTCATGTGTGTATCGTACCTCCAATGCTGAGAATATATTTGTCGTCCTAGTCTCTGAATAGTACGTCGCGATACGATCTCATTTGTGTCCGATCCTCATGAGTCTCGGCGCAGCCACTCTGGTTGCCACACGTGAGCTGCCTGCATATGATCTTTCTCGAATGCGCATGCATTGAAGTTATGACTTTCTTTGAGTGCTTCCGTCCATCTCGTCGGACTTCAACAAAGCACATCAGGCCAGCTGGTTGGGAACAGCGTACGTCCTAACGATCTCCGTGAAATAGAGTGCCTGACGTGTCCGTCACAGGTACCTGCTTGCGACATGTACATTTACCCCGCTATACGGGAGGTTGTCTAATGTTCTTGGCCGTCGAGGCGCGAATCAGGTTGCGGTCGTCTTCGCAGGACTGGGTACTATAGCCTGCGGTCTGTCTTCGAACATGGAAATGCTCATCGCTGCCCGATTCGTGAGTCTATCTTCGTGCTGCTGGTATCCACACGCTGACCTTCACGTCCCAGCTTGCTGGAATCGGCGGCGGAGGACTCTTCACGACCGCAACGTGAGCGCTCTGTTTGCATGCTACGGCGCTCTTCTAAGCTGTTCAATTATAAGGATCATCACGAGTGACATGTATTCACTGAGGGTATGTTGCTATTCTGTGTAGTAAAGAGGAATTGTGCTCACATAGCCTTAGAAACGAGGCTTAACCCAAGGTGTTGCTGCCGTTTTCAACAGCGTACGTCATAACATCATCTACAGCGGCTCTTTTCTATTTTATCCACGAAACCTTACGCAACAGATGGGAATGGGCCTTGGAGGTCCTCTCGGAGGATTCATCGCTGACCGGTAAGTGACGTCATTGTGACCAGCCACTGCATCCGAGCTCTATTGATCCCTTCACAGCCTGGGCTGGCGTTGGGCATTCCTCCTCCAGCTCCCGCTGTTTTTGGCCGCATTCTCCCTTGTGACATTCTACTTGAACTATGTAACGCCAGTACGTATCTATGACGGTCGTGCTATATAGTAAAGGCTCACTCGCAATCATCTACAGGGAAGGAGCAAGAGTGCCAAGGAAGTACTGAAACGAATCGACTATGGCGGCAGCGTCTCTTTGCTCGTTGCGGTATGTTGTCCACGGTTCCTTATGTACTTTGTGGAGAAATAACTGTGCGATAGGTCTTGTCAGTCCTCGTCTTTCTTAGTATGCATTTTAGTGAGGAACACCCGGTACGTCTCCCCACCCAGCTCTGGCTGCCTTCTAGCCTGTTCAATTCAACACTACAGTGGGATTCGCCAACAGTTTACGGGCCCTTTGCATCTGCCATCGTTTTTGCTATCCTCTTCGTTGTGGTTGAGCTCAAGGTTGCACCGGAGCCGATCCTCGCGCCGTTCCTGCTCCGGGAGAAGATCCCAGTGATCGTCGGAATCAGTAACTTCCTCGTCGCGACGTGCAACTTCACGATCATGTACAACTTCCCGACATGGTTCCAGACTGTGCTACTCACGAGTGCGAGCGAGGCCGGTGCGTATCGTCTTCACATGACAAACGTCGCCGTGCTGACATCCCTTCCTCTTCCTTCTCTCTGTGTAGGTGCCCATCTCATCCCTAACGGAGTCTCGATCTCTTGCGGTTCGCTTTTCGCAGGGTACGTGCTCCTCTCTCGCCATTGCCATCGGAGTGGATATCCCCCAGCAGACTAAATAGTACTCGTGCAGATGGGTGATGCACCGCACAGGGAAGTACAGGCATCTGAACCTCATCTTCGGGTTCTTCCCGTTCATCGCTGCGATCCTGCTCTCTAGGATGCGCGAGGATTCGCACCCTGCCGTGCTCTGGCTCAGCATCGTACGTGTTGCAATCCGAATCTCGTCCCTCAGTGAGGGAGCTGACGCAGGCATTGTACGGACGCGTAGATCCCGGCTGGGTTCGGCAACGCAGTTGTGTTACAGACCATGCTCAGTGAGCTCCCTTTCCTCTGTGTCATACGCTGCTATCACGTACTGACAAAGCATCCAACATCCCAGTCGCACTGCTTGCACACCTTCCCCGTACGTGACCACCATTTGAATGTAGTTGACTACAAACTGATAGCAGAGCACCTCGCCTGTAGAGGATGCAATGGCCGTCGGAACAGGATTCGGGCAGCTGTTCCGGGGCATCGGCCAAGTGGGCGGTGTCGCCATCTCGTCTGCGCTCTTCCAATCCATACTGACCGACGAGCTGCGCAAACGCATCCACGGCAACGGCGCCGAAGAGGTACGTCGTTCATCCCTCTCTGCCTCCGGTGTCTGGTCTTCCCCCCCCCTTCTTCGTGAGAGTGACTGATATGCCGCTGGCGGTGGTGGTGGTGGTGGTGCTCGGTGCAGATGATCAGCAAGATCCGGCACTCGTCCAAGCTCGTCGCACAGCTCCCTCCGGACCTGCAGCGCGCCGCGCGCGACTCGTACGCCATCGCCCTGCGCGCGGTCTTCATCATGGCCGCCGTGTCCACCCTGTGCGCGTACATCGTGCGGCTCCCGGTGCGTCCGCCCCCGCGTTTCTCTGTCGTGCAAATTAAAAAGCTCCAGCCACTAATTCCTCCTCCCTCGCCCCATCCCGTCCTCTCGTCGTGCGTCATGTGCTATACGTAGATCCCAGACAAGCCCCTCGACCAACCCCGCCCCCGCGCGCGCTCGCTCGGGGAGCTCCCGAACCCGCACCCGACGACGCCTGCCGCGCTCGCCGAGGAGCTCCCGCAGTCGAGCAACGCGAGCGCGTCCGCGACCGAGGTCGAGCGCGACGACGAGGACGACAACGATACCGACAGCGACGTGGAGGCTGCCGCTGTGTCGCCGATTGATGTGCCCAAGGTGCCGCGGCTCAGGAGACTGTCGACCTACGAGAGCTCGGACGGAGGTATGGATTTGGAGGATGACGTTATTGGGGGGTCCGCGAGGCGGTGATGGGGAGAACGGGAGATACGAGTTGACGAGCAGAAGGTGATTGATACTGGACTGCACATGGACGGACGGACGGGCTCGCAAAGCATTCGCTGCAAAGTATAGACGAGGCACATGCGAAGATGCGCTTTTTCTTGATACCCGCATTGTTCGTGTTGGCACAGGACAGCGGCCGAATTTACGATTCCCCTTCATGCTTGGTTGGGTCTTGTTCCTCGCGTCGCATCTGCTCCCCATGCCTGGACTCAAACGGATATGATTCAAGACATAATGATACATTCGCCTTCCTTGTCCTCTTCGTGTTCTCACATTCGACCACATCCAGCCCCAACCCGTCACCCAATCCGAGACATCCACGCCAACACTCAGAAGTACGCCTGCCACGTACAGTCAGCCATCCATACCGTATACAGCGAAACCCACAGCATCGGTCAAAATACTCACAGCAGCGTTCGGGGGGCTCGCAACACCACCAAGCCTGTTGTTATTGTATTGTATATTGGTCATAATTCCGCAGTCAGTCACAGGAAAAAGGGACATCGGATTGAACTCACACGTTGAGAGGCCAGGACGAGAAGAAGAACGTGTACCGGCCGGTCTCGGCGCAATGCTTCGAGAGCGCCTCCAGGTCGAAGAACTCCCCGATCGGCATGCCCCACATGCTATACATATATGTTGCGTGAGTATCGTCGCACAGACTATCTATCGAGGAGAGCATAGCTGAGGCAGAGAGAGGGTTGGAGGTACGTACCCGAGGAGCGTGGAGTGGAGGTGCGTGACGCCCTCCGGTGGGGGCCAGCGCTGCGCAATCGAAGAAGCATGAGAATGGTTTCGGGGCGGCAGGGAGAAGGAGAGCGCAAGAAGATGGGACGAACCTCGAGAGCGGGCTGGTCAGACGCGATGGCCGCGAAGTGGTTGTCCCACAGGAAGCGCTTCATGTCCTCGGTCTGCTCGATGCCCGCGCTGTGGTCCCCATTGCGTCAGTACACTCGGCTGCTGGCACACCAAGAAACGAAAAGAGAGAAGAGAAGGAGGGGCTGGCTGCTCACAAGGTCTCGGGCTTGCTCCCCAGGGCATCACGCTCCTCATGGGTAGCGCCATAGAAGCGCTGTATGAAGCCGACACGGAGGATGAGGATGTCCGCCGGGCGGAAGGTCACGCCCTGGGCCTTGGCGGCGGCGAGGATGTCCTGGAGGGGGATGGCGTGCGTCGTGATGGGATCGTACGGCAGCTTGCCGTGCAGGTCCGTGTAGTACTTGACGAGGTCGAT